CGAGGAGAGAGCGAGAGAGAGAGAGAGAGAGAGGGGCGTGTCGCGCTGCCTCTCTCATGGGGTTCTTCGGCGCCAGTTTTGCATTTCCGGGCTTTTCAGCCAATCAGGCGGGACCTAGTCCTGCCCCTGCTTCTGGCCACGGCTCCTCCCCTGCAGCAGCTGCTCCCCCCCCCCATACACACAGAGGGGGTTTCCTGCCGTATGGAGACACCATTTTAAGTCAGTTTTGTCGGCTGACTCAAAGGACATTTCATGTTCGTGTAAGGAAATACCTGGTCCTTCACATCCGCCATCTCCCTCAGCACCCATGGGTGTATTCCATCCGGACCCATCGATTTATGGATGTCCAGATTGCTTAACTGATCCCTAACCCAATCCTCATCTATCAAAGCAAACTCCTCCTTCATCCTGACTTCTGCTGGGGCTTTAGGGATCTGGGGCTCCTGGGGAGAGTCTGCAGCAGTGAAGACAAAGAAGGCATTCAGTACCTTTGCTTTTTTTATATCCTCTGTCACTAGGGCACCCACCTCATTCAGCAGTGGGCCTATATTGCCTCTGGAGTTAGTTCTGTCTGCAGTGTATTTGAAGAAGCCCTTTCTATTGTCTTTGACCTTACTTGCAAGGTTTAGCCTTAGCTTTTCTAATTGCCTCCCTACATCCTCTGACAACAGTCCTATATTCCTGCCAAGTGGCCAGCCTCTCTTTCTATGACCCATAGATTCTCTTTTTCCACTTGAGTTTGCCCAGCAGTTCCTTGTTTAACCATGCAGGTCTCCTGACTCCCTTACTAGATTTCCTACCCATTGAGATGCTCTGATCCTGAGCTTGCAAGAAGTGGTCCTTGAATGTTGACCAACTATCTTGAGCCCCTTTACCGTCTAGTACCCTGTCCTTTGGGACTTATCTTAACAATTGTTTGAAGAGACCAAAGTTGGCCCTGTGGAAGTCCAGGGTTCTGGTCCTGCTAGGTATTCTGTTCCTCCCACACAGGATCCCACACTCCTCCATGTCATGATCGCTGCGGCCAAGGCTGCCATTGACCGTCACTGCTTCAACCAGACCCTCCTTGTTGGTGAGCACAAGATCCAGCAGTGCTCCTCTCCTAGTTGGTTTGTCCACCATTTGTATCAAGAAGTTATCATCAATGCATTGGAGGAACCTCCTAGACTGTGAATGGCTGGCTGTGTAGGCCTTCCAGCAAATATCTGGGAAGTTAAAATCTCCCATGAGGACTAAGGCCTGTAGTTGTGAGGCTGCTTTCAGCTGCCTGTAGAAAGCCTCATCAACTTCCTTGTCCTGATCAGGAGGTCTGTAATAGACACCACAGCTGTATCACCCATGCCAGTCTGCCCCTGAATTTGTACCCATGGAAGACCTGTGGCTAAGCTGCAAACAAATAATTTAGAAAATGTATAACTAGTACTTAAATTCCTGCATCATTAGGCTTTGTAACAGAAGTCAATACTGATGCCCTAAAAGCTTCCAAAAGTAAAATTTCCTGAAAAGGACACAGCCATCCATGACCACATTCCAGTCATGTGAGCTGTCCCACCATGTCTTTGTAATTGCCACCAGATCATAACCCTTACAGCACACATGGACTTCTAACTCCTCCTGTTTATTCCCCATGTTGCATCCATTGGTGTGCAGGCATTTCAGGGAATGAACTGAGCGCACTGGTGGCACCCCTGGGAGGTGGGAGGCCTCACATTAGACCAGGTTATTCAAAGCTTCATCCAGTCTGGTCTTGTATACTTCCAGAGTACACTTCCAGATTCTCTGGGCAAAATCTTCCAGTGTCTCATCACCCTCACAGTCAATAATTTCTTCCCAATATCTAATCTATGTCTACCCACTCGCCCTTGTTCTATCACTACACTCGTAAAAAGTCCTTCTGCAGCTTTCCTCTGCAGTTAGAGAACTGGCTGAATTGCTGAGCTCACTGGTATGAAGTCCAGCTGGCAGCTAGACAATAGTGTTATCTCTCAGGTGACCTGTGACATAAATAATCCTAGGAATCTTTATGCCATTCAGAGATAGGGACATCTGAATTGCCAAATCCACAGTGGCTCCATAAGTGGTAACTTACCCTTCAGTAAGGTTCTAAAAGGACAAGAGTGGAGTTCAATCCTGGAGCAGCTAGTTGTCAAAAGCCCCTGCCAGAACTGTAAACCATCACTGATGTTTAGGGCTTCAGGAGCGCGAGATGATACGAGCATGTTGGAGTAAGAAGTAATTTCTTTGCACACAAACAATCGCAGTATAAGGGCTCCAAAGATTTTCTTCAGGAGTCCAGCTATCAGAAAATAGACATTTCAAGTCATACTGGTTCCTGCGCAATGCTCTGCTATCACTGTGTATGTCATCTCCTGTGTGTGCACCACAAATGTACCTGCCAGTGAGGTCTTAGATGAGAAAAGGCTTGATGCTGTACTTGGAAAGTTAAGAAGCTTCTTGATTTAACATTTGGCTAGGGTCAGATATGACAAAATGTAGCCCAAATAAAGTTTGATTTTACTCTTATTGATTACAAAGACAATTGCAACACAGAAAGCTCATGATGTAGTGCTCCAGGACTGCTTAAATCAAACTGCTGTATCTACAGCTAGAAAGGATTTCTCCAACAGTGTAGCCGTAAGAAATGCTCTTGCAGTACAGCTAATGGATAGGTGCAAAATATGCTGCTTGGTCATAGTAGCAAGATGAAACTACAATATAAGCATAGTTACAGAGCATACAGTGAAAAACAGTTCATTACTGAACTCCTGCTTATTCAACAAAAACCTCTTAAAAAATTCTAATCTGCTTTTTTCATTCTAGGTTTTTTTAAACAACTACAATTTTATGTTGAAGAGTTCAGGAAATGGCCGTTGTTCAAACTCTGGATAGGACCATTGCCTGTCCTGGTTTTGTATCACCCTGACAGTGTGGAGGTAAGTGTGTTTGTCTCCCATCTGTACTACTGTCACGCAAAGCAGTGTCCAGCTGTTCATTTCTATTTCTTCAGTGTAATTTTTGCAAAAAAAGGCTTGGACTGATTTTACTTGAGATTGTGCTCTGGCCCAGTGCTAAAGAAAGGCTGAAAGTGGAAGAACATAAAAAAAAAAAAGCCTAGTCTTGGGAAAAAAATAATAAAATACTGGAGACTGCCAGCAAATGAAAGCAGTAAGTCACTATGCTTTATGCAAAGAAGCATCTTCTTTAGCTTTGCTTTCATGTGAGTGAAAGTTTCTGCTCCCAAGATCACAACAGACAAGCAGCAGAGCAGATGGGACCACTGAATAGGGGTAGAACATTATGAAGTGCAGGTTGCAGTGCTTGTGTCTGTGTGACAAACTTCTGCATTACAACTTACTGGATCTGTATTGATGCCATGAAATGTAGTCATTAGTTTTCCTACTAACAGTGATTGTCCCTGTACTGGAAAGACAGCGTTGTTTCTTTATTGAAGTGTTTATTGAAGAGGTGGTGGAACTTGTAAGTTTGATTAAGGCTGGAAAACACCGGGTTTTCTTTGAGCTCTGCTTGTGACTTTGTAACACAGATTTTGCTTTTTCAGGAAGGCGAGTGGTAGTTTTTAGTATTTTGTTGTTTCTCTGCATGGGATATTTACTGAAGGGTGTGAAGGTGTGAACTCAGTGTTCCCTGTGTACCAGCTTGCACTGAAATATTTTGCATTTTACTAAGGCTTGGAGCATTTTTGTGAAGGAACTGAGGTTGTGTGAGGTAATCTCAGTTGAAGAAATCTCTCTTCATCTAACAAGTGATATTTTTTCCTCTCATTTCCTACAGGTTATTCTGAACAGTTCAAAACATATAGAAAAATCATACCTGTACAACTTCTTGCATCCGTGGCTGGGTACTGGGCTTCTGACAAGGTATAGTGAAATGCAGGTGCATTGCTGTCTTTTTGAAATTTGCAGGGTATGTGATAAGAAGAGAGTTTGTTGGTTGAAATTCTGTGTGTATCTCTGGACAGAGATGTAGATGATAGCTGTAGAAGTGTTATTTCTTCTGATGGCCTTGGTTCCTCTTTAACAGCTCATGTCCAATAAAAAATATTTTGGCATTATCTGTTTCTTGGCACATTTGGCCATTGCTATTTTTTTTTTTGTCCAGAGCCTTGAATGAATGTGAGTATTGGCGAGTTGTATCCTATGTAAGTGGTGTTATTTAGTCTGCAGTGCTGCACACTGGGTGTTTTGAATGTTGTGATGTGTGTTGAGTGGTTGGACTGTGGCAGCACTGCTACTATGTACATTATTTGTCTGAGCTGGTGATGCTGCAAACCAGCAGAACTGGGCTTGAGACAGGTGATGCTTTGAGGTAGGATGGGAGAATATCTGCCCCATGTCCTTCATTTCCTTTATGAAATGGACGCTTGGAAGTGATGAGCCTGGATAAGAGCATAAGTCAGGAGTGAAGAGAGGGAAGAGCAGAGATATATGTGTCTGGTGTCCTCCAGTCTTGGGAGAGTCATAGAAGGCTTGTTCTGGAGGCTGCAGGTATTAAAGAGTCAGAGCAGGGCGAGTATAGAATGGCTCTGGTGCCTTTGTGACTCTATTATGCTTTTGCAAGAAGGTGAAAGTTCCCGCATTAGCAGTGAAGCTTTGTTGCCTATTTGGAAGCCTTGTGAACTCCTCATGCTTCACGCTGGGACCATGGTGTTATAAAAGCTATCTGTGATCACGTGGTGTGGGAGGTGCTAGTTTATGTGAGAGGATGAGGAATGCTTTTCATTCTGAGTTTCATGCGTGGCCTTTAAGAAGGCAATAGTCAGTAACGAAGTGCAGAGAGTTCAGGTCCATGAGCACTGGAAATGTTGTATCCTCATGGTTAGTCCTCTTCCTTGCTGGTTATTTTGTACCAAGTAGACTTTTAGAGGTGTTCTGACGTCCTTGTGCTTGCAAAAACATGATGGAGGAGAAGGCTCCAGTCTATGCCAATTAGGGCAGTAGTGGTAGTCAGCAAGCAGATCAGCTGGCCTAAGGAGTGCCTCAATAGCAGGTTGACTGGAGAAGCGGTGTGATGGTTTACCCTGTAAGGAGAGGTGCCAGTTGTGTGCCCATGGGACATGTGGTTTAGAAAAAGAACAAGACCTCCCAGGAAGCTGATGTCACCCAATCACCTTTAACAGACATGTTAGAGGTGCTTGTCTGTCTCCAAGGAAGTACTTTGCAGCCAGACCTTGAGGCAGACATTTGTATAGTACCGGTGGACCCCAGTTCTCTCCAATCCTTATTTCCTAGTCAGTGGATGAAGGTAATCACCAGTGGTGATCCACAGAGACAATGTGATGAGTTGAGGCCTTGATGCTGAATAACTGGGTTGTCCTATAGCTTCTGCTTAATCCCTTTGAGCCTGTGCCGTGGGCAGTTTGAAGAGTCATGTACAATGTTTCCACCTGTGAAGGTGTTCCAAGCTGCAGTTTTTACTGAATGTTTCCTGTGACTGTGAGAGTTTTGACTTGGAGTTTTTAACCCCTTCTTCCTGTTAAATTTTGCAGCACTGGGGAAAAGTGGCGGTCACGGAGAAAGATGATAACTCCCACGTTCCACTTCTCAATCTTAACTGACTTTTTAGAGGTTATGAATGAACAAGGAGGTATTTTGTTAGAGAGACTTGAGAAGCATGTTGACAAGGAACCATTTGATATCTTTCTGGACATCACTCTGTGTGCCCTTGATATAATCTGTGGTAAGTTCTCTTCAGTTACTCTGGTTAGGCTGTGAGTGACTCAGAGGCTCATGAGTACAGCTGTGCCAGAGCAGTGTTGATGTCTAGTGTGTGAATGTATTTCCATCCTCCTAAAGACACCCCTTTTTCTAGAGTGTCTTGTGTGCTTCTGAGCAAGTGAGTTTGTGGGATGGACCTGGCAGAGGTAGCAATCTAAAGGGAGGTTGTGGGTTGTGTTGAGGAGCAGGGTTCCTGAGAATGGAAATGCAAAGTGAAGTCATCACCCGGAAAGCGATGTGTGTATTCACCTGTTGAAGGGGCAGTGCAGTGACAGTGAGAAGCTGGGAGAAGTAGTAACTTTTTGTGTAAATTAACATGGCTTTTCACTTTATACTTGTGAACTGTTCATGATTTCTTCCTTCTAGAAACAGCAATGGGCAAGAATGTGGGTGCTCAGGAAAATAAGGATTCTGAGTATGTTCGTGCTATATACAGGTAAATGGACATTTTTCTTGGCCACTTTGTAGTTCAACTGGGTTGATGCTTGCTGATGTCTGGAGGTCATTTGCTGTGAGCCTGGAGGGAGGGCTGGAGGGTTACAGATTGAGGTAAAAAGCCAAGAAGGCAGGACAAGCTCCTACAGATTTTCATGCATTTTCTGATATGAGTAAATGCACTGGGAGGCTGAGTCTCTGAAGAGGTGTCAGCTGCCGTTCAGTTCATCCATTGGTACAGAAAGTAAAAAAAAGTAAAAATGGAGCTGCAATATTTCTTATCAGCCTGACTGGCAGAATTAGGAGGGTGCAGTAGCATGTTAAATTTGAGGCACTGCTGCTCTGCAGTTTACAGCAATATTTACACCATTCAAATTTCATGTGCCTGTCCAGTGGACTAGGAAGAGCGTGGTTTATATTCCTACCACGCTGATGTGTGAGCCTAGATGAGATGTAGCTGTTTGCGCTCATCCCTAGCCTGTCAGGGGGCCTGTTGACACAAGTGTGTTGCAAAAAATGGATGGAATTAGAGGGTATGATTGTCACTGGTTCCTTGACCTTTCTCAAAGTATATTGCAAGTGGGCCTAACGTTGGTCTAAATGTAATAATTACTCCTCAAAGTCTTTTTCTGCAGCCAAAAGCATGTGCAAGAGCTGAATAGCAATGGCAATCAACCCTTCCAAATGCATTCCACTTGTGTTTGAGCATACTGAAAGATGCTGTCTGGCACATAAGCTATCTGGACAGTCAAGTAAAAATGTAATGCTTTCAGATGGCTGTTTGAGGTCTCAGGGCAGATAGTTTTGAAACCCTGGCATGACTAGTCTTTTCAGAATGTATGTGACTTTTCAGCATGGTTAATACTTTACTCATGTGGAGTGGGACTGGACTGGATGACTTAATTATGTCTGTTTCAGGAGGATTCCAACTGAATGAGAATATGCTCTCTCTCAGGGATCAATGCTTAAAGATATAAATCATGGTAATGCTGGGACAGATGACAGAAATTTTGAAATGGTTTAAATGAGGGAGCAAGTAAAAGCAGCCTTTCCCTCAGATGAATGTTTTAAACTCACACAATATATTAAGTTCTGCTTCATTGAGGGATGTGGAACTATATTTTGGTTCTTGAAAGTGCGCTGTAAATTTTTTTTTTTTTCCTTCAAGAAATGTTACATGTTGTAAAATTTGTCCCCCTAGGATGGGTGATCTAATCCAACGGCGACAGATAAGCCCTTGGCTTTGGCCTGATCCTCTATTTAGTCTGTCAAAGGAAGGAAGAGAACATGAGAGAAGCCTCAAGATCCTTCATGATTTTACAGATACAGTATAGATTTTTTTTTTATTTTTATTTTTTTTAATGGTGCATCATAGTTGTTGTTTACACTCAGAGAACTTCCAAAATAGGGGTGAGGTTCAGCCCCCCCAAATATGTGTCTACTAAGAGAATTATCTCTTTGTTGGAATGCCAAGGAGTTCCCTGAAAAGACAACAGCTGACTCCTGTGTCAGGAGCTCTGTTGTCTTTAAGCAAGGAAATATACTACTCTGGGGGAGTAACAGGGCTTATTGGTCACTGACAATTGAAACAAACACCAGGCATTAACTGAACTGCCCCTAATGCTCCGTATCTGAATCACCTGCAACAGCTCACTGCCATGTTTGTTGCAGTAAGCATGGGGCTCTGCTCGGTAATGCTGACTGGTCCAGCTCTCAGAAACTGAAGCCTGTATTCTTTTTCCCCTATTCAGAGCAGAGCTGCTGAGATGAGCAAATGCATGCAAGTCCCCACATTAGCAGTAAGACACTTTGACACAGAAACCATTAAGCATATGTCACTGATTTGTGGAGAGAAAACTGTTTTATACCATGTTAGGCTTTTCTAGTAATGCCCCTTTCTCTCATCAAATAGTTCCCATGCTATTCTTGCCAATGGTTGCCCTCCCAAATCTACTGTTAGGATGTTACCATAAAAGCTACTTACTCTGAAATATATGTATGTACCCCACAATGTCATTGTGTCAATGCCCATGACAAAGGAAATAATCTCATTTTCACTAAGTATGATGATTCTGTATCATTGACTCTGTGTTGTTTTTAAGTAGTTAATGTTTTGCTTCCTTTTATTGGGAATTGCAGCGGTGAGGCATGAGAGAGGCTCTTAAAGGGACCTAAGGTTTCATGCTGGGCTGGTGCACTAAATATAAGAATTCCAATCTTAGAATATGACAAAGGAACATTAGATAATAATGTCACCTAGTGTAGGTGCTGACAGAAAGCACTGAGACAGAAGGTGGTTTAGTGTGTGTTTCAGTATGTACATGTTCAGTAAGGGAAAAATGTGTGTATGAAAATGAATATTTTTTTCCCATTTAGAGCTTCCTCTGTTGAGAGCCATACCAGTTTATTGAAGAGTTCTATTTTGCTGTTATAGTGGTGGTGACAAGAAATCTGTGTCTGTCACTGGGGCTGTGGTTTGACCTAAAAAAGGGAAGTTCAACCATTGCTCTCATACTGAAAGTTGGGAATCTTTAGCACAGTGGTTCCAGCTGTGCTATGTGTAGTCCTGAGGCAGGGTTGTGTGGTGCTCTGGCTTCTCTTCAATCTGGGTTCCCTAGAGGTTTGAAATGTGATCTTTTCCTTAGTTATTGGGTAGGGTAGAGAAAATCTTATTGGTGATCAATGTGTTCAGATTGTGGTGATATTTTTTAATTTGCTGTTGCTATTGTTGGCATTCAGTATTGGATTGTGCCAGATATTCTGGATGTGTTTACACTTCTTTATGATCATCAAGTGGTTTGCATAGTTTGCTTATCTATTTGCCTGATGACATAAAGGGTATTCAATGCATTCTATTACTTGCAACAAGAGGGGTTGGTCATATTTCACTTACTAACACAAAAAGTCAACTAGAATTCATATGCTAATGCTAACTAGATTATGTAGACTGCTACAGATGGATTTTTTTATTAAAATAAATAGGAGAAATGTGTGTGATGTAGACTGCACCTCAACTAATCTAATGGTTCTAACCTCAGGTTATTGCAGAAAAAGCTGCAGAACTTGAAAAAAGCAAGCAAACAAAATGTGATACTGACAGCAACTGTGAAGAAAGTTACTCCAAAAAGAGAAAAGCTTTCCTGGACATGCTGTTGTGCACAACAGATGATGAAGGGAAAAAATTGAGCTATGCGGACATTCGTGAGGAAGTGGATACTTTCATGTTTGAGGTACCCAAGGAACATGTTGATTTGTTGTGTTTTGTTTGGCTTTTTTTGCTTATTTTCATGGAGTTTCACCAATTGCAGGTAGTGAATATTTTTTTTCTTAGTTTGGGAGGTTTCTTTTAGCATTAAGGTAGTTTAGCACTGGAAGCCTAAGAGGAAATCTGTAGGATAGAAACAATTGTGTGCCCTGGCAAGATGTTGGGCAGTACGCATGTAGCAGGCCCTGCCTGTGTGAGCAGGTTCTGCTCATGAAAGCAAGTTATGGCTGATGTGGGCCTTGACCTGTCAGCTCCTGTTGCAAACCTTATTAAGGCTATAGAGAGCTCTGAATGGTTTCAGTGTTTTGTCTGGCATTTTGTCAGGTCTCCTCACATTCTGTCCCTTGCCATGTTGGCTGTAACCTCCTTGTTCTGTCATCAACTGTGCACTGGTGTAATGTCTTCCCATATCTAGTTCCCTGCCCCGTGAAGGATGTAAACAGGACTTTTACAAATTTTTCACACACTCCATTAGGTGGACCTTAATTCTATCTTAGAAGAGCTGAATTCAGAGTGATATTATTGCTGATGTAGCCTAGACAAACTCTTTCATAGCTGGGTTTTGAAAAGATGCAGAATCCTGAACTTCACAAGTGCTACTTTTTAGTACCACAATCCTTTGCTGGTCAACTGCTACCTTTTCTGTTCCTCTCTTGTTTTGGTGTGTGTTTTGGTTTATTTGTGTGTTTTTGTGTTTGTGGGGTTTTCTTTGTTTGTGTTTGGATTTGTTGGCTTTTGTTGGGGTTTGTTTGTTTGTTGGGGGGCTTTTTATGATGCTGATGCCCTTCATGTAGGAGACCAAGGTGTATTCCTTCCTATGGTCAGTGTATTGTGTCCTATTGTGCCCTTTTTTTGATAGTTTTGTAAAGATTATGGATTGTATCTATTGTATCTTTGCTGTGGTAGTTGTTAGCCCCCCAGATGTTTTGTTGTTGACTGAACGGTAACCAAAACCCTAAATGTGCTTCTTTTTCACTTTGTAGATACTGATAGTTCATGCAACTTCTGGGAGGCAGAAAAAGGGTTGTTTTCTTGAGTTATTTAAACACTTTTTCCCTTTTGGTCAGTTTTTAGGTACCTGACAGAATTGTGGGTCATCTTTCATCCTGGTAATGAGTTGGATAGAGTTCTTTGCTCTTGATTTTTATTATTCTTATGTTTGTGGGACTAATAAGTCTCACTTTCCATACTACCTACACGTATAAGAATTGACAAAGCCTACCTGTGCACAGGAATAGTTTTGAAGTAAATGTCTTTTTAAATCTGGACCTCTAGGGCCATGATACAACAGCAGCTGCCATGAATTGGGCACTTTACTTACTTGGACATAATCCTGAAGCCCAGAAGAAGGTTCACAGAGAACTGGATGAGGTGTTTGGTATGTTTCAATTCCCTCCTTCATTTGGGTTGTAGTGGTGGTTGCATTTATGAGTGGGAATGTAGTATATAGAAGGGGAGGTAGGAACATGCCTTGTGGCCCTTCTAGTGCTTTCAACAACTAGTGGTGAGTGGTACAGGTGCTGAAAGGTCTGTAGGAGAGCACAACCAGTCCCCCTATTTGTTTTTTGGACAGGCAATAGTGAGTGTCCTGTTACAATGGGTGATTTGAAGAAGCTTCGATACCTTGAGTGTGTTGTGAAAGAAGCCCTTCGGCTCTTCCCTTCCGTTCCCATGTTTGCCCGTACCTTGAGAGAGGATTGTGTTATTGGTAAGTAGCGTCCTGTGTCTGCCACTTCCTGTCCTGCAGGCATCTCCTCAGTGAAGGTGTTTCCCAAGTGAAGGGCAGTACTGTTTCAGTTTTTACTGTGCTCTTGTGCATAGGAAATCACTTACTTGCTCTTGTTTTGACCCTTTTCTCTTTGCCTTTTCTCTTTAGATGGATATCAGGTACCAAAAGGCACAAATGTTCTTGTCATAACTTATGCTCTGCATAGAGACCCCGAGATCTTCCCTGACCCAGAGGAGTTCAGACCTGAGCGATTCCTCCCTGAAAACTGCAAGGGAAGGCACCCGTATGCTTATGTGCCCTTCTCAGCTGGACCCAGGAACTGCATTGGTAGGTGGCTGAAGAGGAGACCCTTGTAAAGTGACAGTGTTATTTTTGGTGTGGTAACTGTGGCAGCATTGAGTGTATAAAAAACTTAAGTCTTAAGGTGCTGGCTAGTCCTGTCTTGTCCTTCACCCAGTCCCCTGCCCTTCCTCCAAATTCTGGGCACTGTCTCTTCTGCAAGCATGGTGCTGGAGCTGCCAGATTTTGTTTCTTGCCAAGGGTTTCCTTTCTTCTCGGGGAATGATGTCGATCACACTGGTGTTCTCTCCTCAATGCCTGTGCAGCCTGGCAGCATGTTAATGGGCTCCTGTGTTAGGACAGGAATACTTCCAAATGTGTGATGCTCACTGTCAGCAAGACAGAGCAAGAGAAGACAGATGTCCTGCACTTGTTTTGCTCTGGAAACATTTAATCTGTCAATCTCATGATCTCAATTGGGTGTCCCAAATGTGCATTCTGCAAGTGATACATTCTTTTCCTCTTTTTGATACTGTTGCTCTGGTGTTTTCACTGTCATCCTAGAACTTGTCAGCTCAGGTGCCACTGAGACACGTAACATTTATCTATGCTCAGAGTAGAGACACTGTTTAGATAACACATGAAAGGGCTGTTCCCTGCACTGATCTTAAATGTAGATGAGAAACATTCAGCTGTAAAATCATTCACAAGAACACAAAATAAAACTTCTTTTAGGGCTTTTTTTTGTTTCTTTGTTTGTTTTTTTTCTTATTTTGGAAGTTCGTTGTGGGGGTTTTTTGTTTGGTTGGTTTGGTTTTGGGTTTTTTTGGTGTGTGTTTTTTGTTTGTTTGTTTTGTGGGTTTGTTTTTTTTTTCTTGGTTTGTTTTTCATTTTCCCCTCCCATAAGAACAGCAGGCTAGGTCTTCCTGTTTTCCAAAAAGGAATTTAATTTAGTATTACATTTCTAGCTATTTCCTGGGTGCACAGGAACATGTACAGGTTCATTAATCCTGTGTACAACATATTTATCATCACCGTGCAGATGTCCATCTGTGCATATTATACAGAGAGGTTTACATAAAAAGTTTTGAGCATGGAGTTTTCTGTCCTTTTCCCCTTTTCAGTTTAGCTTGAGTGAACTGCTTGGATTGTGACTTGGTTTGATTTCCCTCATAATTTGCTGTTCTCTCATTTCCTCCTTCACTTTTCTCTGAAATGTAAATTGAACTTTGCACTCTGTGCTACTGAATCGTCAGCGTGTGTGATACTTAGTGTTCACTAAAGGAAAGTCTGTCTGTAATTCTGCTGCAGTTGGATCTTCTTTTCTCCTTTCTGCATATATGGAACAGTGGGATTTGTCTCCCTTCCAGACCCTGTGCTGCATCTTCTCCTGTTCTAGTCTGGCATCCATTCCCTCTTGCCTAGTCCATCTAAGAGACATGACAAGGCTGTGTTTTGTGTTAGTTCCGTGTAAGGTGTTGAATGTTTCCTGTTTGCTGTTTGAGTTCTGTGTGCTATGAGAAGACGTGCTGTGGATTGTTTCAGGAAGGCCAGAGTTGTCATGCAGAGAAAAGTTCTAGTTTCTGTACTATCCATATGACACTGATTTTGGCCTAAAGCCAGTTCTGTTACAGAATCACAGAATCTGTGAAAAGGCTGGAAAAGACCTTTGAGATCATCAAGTTCAGCCTATGACCTAACACCACCATATCAGCTAGACCCTTAACGCTAAACCATTTAATCTAGATGCTTACGCCTAGACCCTTAAACCTTGACCCTTAATGCTAGAGTCCTAACCCTGGACACAATCATCCCAGAGGATTATCTAGTCCAACCATAACCTAAATCCCCCTACCATAACCTAATCTACCCAACCAGTGCTTAAATCATGCTGCAAAGCACTATATCTATATTTCTTTTAAATGCTTCCAGGGACGGTGACTTTACCACCTCCCTGGACAGCCTGTTCCACTGTCTATTCATTCTTTCAGTGAAGAAATTCTTTCTAATATCCAATCTAAACCTCCCCTGGCACAACTTTAGGCCATTTCCTCTGGTCCTGTAATTCTTCACCTGATGGAAGAGACCAACTTCTGCCTCCCTACAACCTCCTTTCAGGTAGCTGTAGATAGCAGTAAGGTCTTCCCTCAGCCTCCCCTTCTCTAAACTAAACAATCCCAGTTCCCTCAGCCTCTCCTCATAGGGCTTATTCTCCAGACTTTTCACCAGCTAGGTACCTCCTCTCTGGACTCACTCCAGCAGCTCTACATCCTTCCTGAAGTGAGGGACCCAGAACTGGACACAGTACTCAAGGTGTGGCCTCACCAGTGCTGACTCCAGGGGCACGATTACCTCTCTACTCCTGCTGGCTGCACTATTCCTAATGCAGACCAGGATGCTGTTGGCCTGCCTGGCCACCTGTTCTTGAGGCACACGCACAGTCCTTGCTGTCCTGTGTTTCTTGGGGTGTCACTGTGAGTGTGCAAATGCAGCAACTGTTGATGCAACCTGACAGTAACATCTTCCATCTTTTTCTTTTTTTTTTCTTTCCCCTGCCCTGTGACTCATAGGTCAGCGTTTTGCACAAATGGAAGAGAAAACTCTTCTAGCCCTCATCCTGCGACGCTTTTGGGTGGACTCCTGTCACAATCGAGAAGAGCTTCGTATAGCTGGAGAACTGATTCTCCGTCCAAATGCAGGCATCTGGGTTAAACTGAAGAGGAGGCCGAACACCGGATCAGAATGAAAGGAAGTTCAAGATTTTATTGTTCAAAAAACATCCAAGCTATTTAGGTTGAGACATGTTTTTAAATGGCATATTTTGATGGCAGTCCAGCAATTTATTGAAACTAAAGTTACTGATTGTTTCATTAGATATTTTAATAGCCCTAAGTTGCTCTTCTTTTCTAGTACATGCTCATCTTTGAAGTGCAAGTCTTTTAATACCAAATCTTAGTACCTTATCTACTCTGCTGAAACAATTCTATTGCAACAGTGTAGCAGTGCAACAATGGTGATGGCTCCATCTTTGAAGACAAAGCAGAAATCTTCTGATGATTTCACTCCTCCTTTGTAAGCATTTTCAGTAGTTCTTAAGTAGTGAGTGCTTGAATTATTTTTTGGCAAAGCATACCATAAGGATTAATCTGTGTAATCATACCATAAACCAGATAGTGAGCAAATTACATACAGGATTTTATAATGACAGAAACACTGTATTACACATTTTGAGAATAAACTTCTATTATGCCTCAAAATTGAGTGAAATTGTGTATGTAAAACTTACGTGCCTGGGTGCAGGTAAATTACTGACGGATAATTATTTCTTATCATTAGTTCCTCTGAGGTGATCAGTTGACCAGATTTTACTGTTAGTTGAAACTGAAACAATGAGCCAGTCTGCTCTTGCCTTCTAGGGTCCTGAAGGAAATAGAGAATTTCTTCCTAATTGACATTAAAGAGGAATTACAGTGATGGAGTGAAGCTCTTGTGAAAGTTCTCCTGTATTCACCTTCAGGACAGGTCAAAATTTTCAAGCCACACAGCTGGAGAAGAGACTCAGTGTGACTTTTGAAAGCACTGAAGAAGAAGCTGGTGCTAGACCAAGCTGAGATCCTTTAGCTGTCCTTTACTCTCTGCCTCTATGCTTTTGCACTTCTTTTGGCTGGTGTCCTACCCCAGTGTGACCCCTGACCTTTACAAAGAAGGATGCACACTAATAACCACACCACTGTCTTTATCTGCTGATGCAGGAGTTACTCTTGCCACCATTGCTGGTGGTGGGGATTTTAGGTGTGCTGTCACCTTTAAGGTTGTTCTGGGGCTGTGGAGGGGGCAGGATGAGGAGCTGGAGGTCAGATCTGATATGGCTGATGTAGACTGGCCCACCTCTAATGATCCAGGCTGGGTCGATGGGCTGAGGCCAATGGCATGAAATTCAACAAGACCAACTGCAGGGTCCTGCACTTTGGCCTCAGTAACTCCAGGCAGCGCTACAGACTGGGGGAAGGGTGGCTGGAGAGCAGCCCAGCAGAAAGGGACGTGGGAGTACTGGTTGACAACCAGTTAAATGTGAGCCAGTGGTGTGCCCAGGTGGCCCAGAAGGCCAATGGTGTCCTGGTTTGTACCAGGAATAGTGCGGCCAGCAGGAGTAGGGATGCAATTCTCGCCTTGTATGCAGCACTGGTGAGGCATCACCTTGAGTACTGTGTCCAGTTCTGGGCCCCTCACTTCAAGGATATTGAGATGCTGGAACAGGTCCAGAGGAGAGCAACAAGGCTGGTGAGAGAACTAGAGGGAAAATCTTACAGAGACAGGCTGAGAGAGCTGGGCTTGTTTAGCCTGGAGAAGAGGAGACTCAGGGGGGACCTTGTCACTCTCTTCAACTACCTGAAGGGAGGTTGCAGTCAGGTGGGGCTGGGCTCTTCTCCCAGGCAACTAGCAACAAGACAAGAGGGCATGGCCTGAAGCTGCTCCAAGGGAGGTTTAGGTTGAATATTAGGACGTACTTCCTCACAGAGAAAGTGATTAGACACTGGAATAGACTTCCCAGGGAAGTAGTGGAGACACCATCCCTGGATGTGTTCAAGGAAAGGCTGGATGCAGCACTTAGTGCCATGGTCTAGCCAATGTGGTGGTGTTGGTCATAGGCTGGACTTGATGATCTTAAAGGTCTTTTCCAGCCCTAGTAATTCTGTGATTCTGTGATTAGTGTGCTACAGAGTAAGAAAGAACTCATCTCTCTCTCCTGGATTTGTTGACTTTTACAGATTCTTTTTTTGTCTGTTTCGTTGTGCCCTTATAACAGCACTTTGGAGTTTAATGCCTGGGATACTGCTATGCTTTGTGGAACATCAGAGTAGAGAGATAATAATTCCTGTGTTTTCCACATAAATTGAAGGTTTCCTTGAAAACGCTGAATTCTCTATGTTCTGATAAGCCTAGGTTTTACCATTTTCTGAGGATCTTCTAAAAAGAATGGATTTAACTGCTTAGTTTCCATAAATGAAATTACAGACCTTCACAAATAGTTCACTGTAATTGCTACTTTTCTTTCGTCATCAGGAGAACAAAAGTTATGTAGCAATGATAATATGGTTACAGTTTTCAATCTTCATTTTCAAACACAGGCTTAGTTGCTAGATAGTAAAAAGAATTTAAGTTTACAGGGCTGATTGTAATTTTTTTTTTTTCTCTCTTTAATGAAATAACTTTCAAGACTACCTTCTTACATTAATACACATAAAAAACCAAGTTACACATGTTTTCCAAAGGGGCTCTAAGAGAAGGAATTACATAATGCTTTTGGGTACTTGGTAGTGTGAGGCTTGCAGGTATACAAGATTTGCATTAAAAATATGTTTTCTCAGGCCATTTGGTATGTAGTTGAAACCTGGAGAGGTGTACCTCATGTTTTCTTAAACTGTGTCTTTAAATTGGGAACTTCCAAGATAAATGAAAGCTGCTTTCTTTTTTGTTTTTTTGTGGTTTTTTTTTCCTGTGGACTCTGTTATGTGAAATGAGTTTTTTAAAAACTGACCAAACTATAACAATTCTCTCCAGAAGGAGGTAATTTTTGTGACATCAGTCTACAAAAAAACAATATTTTTGCTTGTGCTTTATTTTTGTATGATGCTCTTCTCATAAAATGTCATCCCAAGTAAATTGTAATTTCTTTACCATGTCTGATGGAAACAAGAAAAATAACTGAGAACTGGATAAAATTAGAATGAGAACCCCATTATTAAAAATGCCTGGGCTCAAATGCTGGCACAAAGTTACTGAAGGGGAGAACACCAATTTAACGACGCACATATCATCTTCACCAAGATGAGCATTGATGTAATCCCATAGTCTGTTAAAAGCTGTTCAGAGAGGCAATGACCTCTTGCCTTTTATTGTGAAAACTGGTTCTGAAGCACTCTGAGTCTGTTAAGGAAATAAATTTTGAGAAAACCAATACAGAAAGAGCAGGAACTTTATTCCTGCAGAGTAGATGTTAGATACCTTGTGTTGTGTAGAGTGTGTGCTTTTATTAACCTGACTCGTGTGTGTGTGTGTAATTGTTGGTTGTGGTCAGTAACAATCATTTGAGTTTGTTTGCTTTTGTTTTGTGTTTGGTTTTTTTTCTTGGCTTTTTTTTTTTTTTTTTTTTACCTTGTAGGATTTAGAAATGCAGTGCAGCTTTGACAGATTTCTTAGTAAAAGGACAATAAAATGACTGGTGGCTGTTTCATCACAAGGGAGGAGATCCTCTCCCATGTTGAGGCCACTTTTTTAGTAGGATTGCTATAAGAAATGTGGGGTTTTATTTTGGCAGGCAGAATTATACCTAAGTCAGAGTGGGGTAGTGTTCAGTCATTAATTTCCTGAGATGAAACCATTAAGTAATTTCTGCCACCTTTGCAGATGAGTGACCTTTTGCCTAAATCACAGCTCAAATCAGCAGAAAGCAGTAAGAAGCTAGTAGGCAATGGCACTGCCAGGGAGATTTCATCTTAAATTACTTACTGACAACTTAAACTGAGGAAGGTTTTTGCTTTTTTTAAATACCAAGTTAAAATGAAACAGAGTCAAAACAGAAGGAAACACCCCATATTTTTTTTTATATGGTTCATCTAAATGTTGTGCTTGCCAAAAAATGTTTCCATTTTATGAAAATGTTTTGATGAGTTCTTTTAACCCTGCCATCTGATTCACTAAATCTTAATTGCAGCATTCTGATTTATTTGCCAGAATTGATTGCTGCATGTATACAATGAGGGAATTCAGACACCAGTTACCTTATATATTGAGCCTTTATGAGCCTAAGGGGTGTTAGATGTTTTTTGTATTCTGTGCACTTTGAACTTCGGGTTCTTTTCATAGTTTAAATCACGTAGCCTCTTTGGATTCCAGTGCAGTTCAGTAAATGGACACCAGCTGAGAATTTTTCTCAGCCTATTTTGTAATTTGTCCTGTAAGAAATGTCCTATTATATAATAAACAATAATTCATTCAGGAACATAGAGTTCATAACACATTCTTTTCTTTGAATGGAATTGCAACTCAGTTGATTTGAGCAACAGTGCAGTAGTTCAAACGTGGGAGGATTTGTCATGTGAGTAGCAGGCCCGCTGAAGGAAAATGCATGTAAAGTGAACATTTTTTTACTGTTCATTGCTTGTTATGATTCTTTTTTAATAACATTGCTCCCTTATTTCTCAGCTTTGCCATCAAATCCAATTAATGACCATACAGGTGGAGCTAAAATGATATATGCTTTTGGAAGGACTGTGGTACCTCAGTTTGAGAACTGCTGACTTAAGAAAGTTTGTTTTGGGTTGTTTTTTTTCCTTACTAGTTGTCTTATGAAACAGATGGACATAACAAAAAGATTCCCTTTCCTGAGAAAAATATCTAAAGTAGAGATAATGGCTTATAGAAATTAAATCTTACTGAGGCTTCTGATGAATGGATGTGACTATTGCATGAAGAGACAGATGATGGTGAAATCTATGATTAATCTGCCCTGGGGTTTGGGTTTTTTTTGCCAATTCAAACTGTAAACCTTATTTTTCCAAATGTGTGGTGTGAGAAGTTTTTGGTTCTTTGTTTTGTTTTGTTTCATAAGACAGCAATGAACTGGAATAACATTGCCCATTATCTGAGCTGGAAAGCCCAGATGAGAAACAAAGAGTGAAGAAATTAAAAGTCCTTGCAGAGAAGGTCTAATCCCTTTGTACCATCAAGGGAAATGTGTGCACACAGACACACACACATAAAATAAGACAAAAACATATTTTAATTGAATACTAGTGGAGGCTGAGCAGCACAAAAGCTTACAATTTCACCTGGTTTTGTTTATAAATATTCAGGCACAGAGTGGGTTTTGTGATTACATTCAGGATTATGAAAATTCTGTAATTTGAAGTAAAGGTGATAATTTTTCCAGAGGTATAAAATATTATAATAATTTTATAGATTACAAAAGAGTAAGTGACACACCTGTGGTTACACAGGAAGGCTTCCAAGATGTTTGCTGGAGGTGGTGTGGTATGGTTCCCAGAGCTGTACTCCCATGTTACCTCTACACACCATGGCTGATGGAAAATCTCCTCTTCTGAGCTGAAGGTCAGAGCTGTACAAGCATCTTAGTCTCAAAACACTTCATGTTACAGTAATAAACTAGGAAAGTGTTTTGCATTAAAGCCTTCTAGCACTCTCCCTTGTTGCTGTTGCACACTTAGAACAGAAGAGAGTACATAAAAATAAAAGCTGCTCTGCTCTAAAACATGTGAGTCCTCTCCAACAAGCATGTAAGGGCAAAGCAAATGAATACACAGAAGAGTATGAAGACTTTTTTTGAGACAGTTCTTCCTCTTCAAGGAGGAGGTGGAGACCTTGCTAGCCTGTAAGTCATGGAGAAGTCATTTTAATCATCAGGAGGCTTGAAAGGGCCACAGTTGGGTGAAATGCTTTGATTTCTTAGCTTTTTTAGTAAAGCATATATATCTGTCTTTCCAGCATATTCAGTCTAAAAGAAAAGAGAAGAAAGAGTGGGAAGGAGGCAAGATTTGCCCCTTCAGTAGTTTTGCCATGAAACTAAACACCTTTAAAAAAAAATAATAATAAAAAAAAATTGGAAAGGATTTTTCTAGTTTGAAATTTGTTTTGCTTGGTTACACATGTTAAAAAGAATTGTAGGAATCAAAACAAGCCATTGGACTACATGATCTCTAGTGGTCCCTTCCAACTCTGACAATTCTGCTATTGAGATAAACTATAAATCAGGTTTGACTTCTTGTTACATTTACATTTAGTATATTGGCAAGCACATTTATGGTTGGTTGTGAGGATTTTTTTGTTTTGTGGTTTTTTTTATGGCTTCCAGGAAACTGAAGTTGCTATTAGTTGCATCTAAAAACAAACTTGGAGTGTAGAGACTGCAACAGTAAAACTACTTGGAAGGTGATGCAGACAGGATCATTTCTGCAGAGCATTAAAATGGAGGAATAAGAACTTGGAACTGATGTTGAAGAAAACAGAGCACAGAATACAGAGTTGAAGAATGTAGTTGTTCCTACTTGCCAAGGGAATGCCTCAAGAAAATGGTGTCATAGAAAGAAAACAGGTAGTGATTCTCTCCTCAGTTACAGTACTTTCATAGTGATGTAATTTACTTTGGGTCTGAGTCACTAGTCTTACTGATTTCATGTAGATTTCCTTCCCACTGCAGCTCAGAATTTTCTCTTGAGACAAATCTCATTTGCCATTTATGTAAGTTCTTGTGCTAGTACCAGATACTCTGACTCTTCTGAACCACGGATTCACCTTTTATTTTAAAATGTCATCAAAAGACAGATGCTCAGCTGGTGTAAAACCTGGACATTTGTTTCAGTATGGTCTGGATGATGCATGCTCTGAAAATGTGGCCCAAGGTCAGTAACAATATTGACAGAAAGAGTACCCATTCAAAGTAAATATTAAAGATAAGTTAACATTGCAGGCACAGTAATATTTAACACAAACTGTTGGTTTTTTATTGTTGTTTTTTTTTTTAGTAGAGCATAAACTTTATCCATTCATCCGGACCTATTGTATGTTCAGGTATGTAATCATTATTGCAAGTGATATTCAGTGAAAAGTTTTCATAACACTATGAAAGTGCATGTTGTGTAGTTAATTTGATTATTTCACAGCTTAAGATGTAGCATTTTGGGGGGAAAAGAATATTAATTTTAAAAAAAAAGAAAGAAAGATCGTAAAATTCATATAACGTATACCAGAAGCAGTGAGTATGAGTAATGTTTTCCCTACTGTGATAACAGTATCCACTCAATGATCAAGACAGAGTCAGGATTAATAATGACATTTTGATGGAATATTGTTCCCAGTGTAAGCAAGAATAACTATTCTGCTGTAAAAATGAAGCAGAAATTCTCTAAGTGCTTATAAGCTTTATTGCTTCTTGCAACCATAAGTAAAGGACAAACTTTTGTTGCTCTTCTCTGCTACTTTATATATGCCATCTCAGATGTAATTTGTAATTCTCAGTGTAATTTTGAGTTAATGGTGTAAAAGTACAAGTGTAAATCAGTGATATGCTTTGCAATACTTTATAACATTAATTATACACCCTTTATTAAACATACCCTAAGGAATTATTTTGTGGTTTGTTTTGGTTTTTTTTAGGATGATTTGGATGTATCAAACTTTGTATTTGATTTTCTTACTTGCTTCTGTTTACAGTGGTAAGTGAATATATGAGTCCTAAGACAGGCACACAGAGTAATGCAGCTCTTCTAGAAGAGGCCATGGTTAGTAACTGCGGTCTGGTCCTGAGACAGGAGGCTTGGCTCTGCTGTGTTGCACTCGGTTAAGGTTGGGTAACTCACATAACCCTGTTTCCTGACACAGAACTTTCTGATGGGGTTTTACTGATGTTGTCCTGCCACCTCCCCCCATGCTGTCACCTCACCCACGACCATGTCGCGGGCAGTTTTCTCTATCGGACTGTGGCTTCATCCAGCTTGTAACCGTGAAATGAGCGTGATGTTCAGTCTCCTGTACCCAGCAGCAAGGTTAGCAGCTTTAGCAGCAGCTCACGAAAAGAGCATTTTGCAGTTGGTAGTGAGTCCAGCAGGTGGGGTGACTCTCCGCAGCACAACTTGGAGCTCTCTCAAGTTTGCAGCAGTGTGTGCCGGCTGCCGGAGGCTCAGTCCAGCAGTGCTGGGATAAGGTGGCTGCCTCTCCCAGGCTGCAGAGGAGCCTCAGCCCTTTCCCCAGTCGCTGCTCTCGAGGCAGGAGGCAGGACTGACTGTCTCTCATCCCAGCAACCTCACTGGGAAACAGCAACTGACCTTCAGAGTCAACATCCCTTTTTTATTTTCTTTAAACAAACAAACCCCAACAACCCTCAGCCTTATTCGTACATTGCCTTTGCATGAAATTTCTGATTTAAAAGTATTTGTGTCATGACTTATGTACCATCATGCTTTAAAGGGTATTGCAGTAAGTATGAACAACTCCAAAACCAATTGTTTTATCGTGAATTATTTTTTAGAATTCTCTTGACATGCTGGAAAATTGGTGATTGTGTAGTTTTTTTCAATGTCTGTGTTAATGATTTACCTTTTTCAGTTAGCAAAAGTCAAACTACAGAAAATTGCATTGCATTTCCCTGAAGTTCCCTGTGCTGGTAAATTCTAACTATGACCTGACACAGGTTTATGTTCAGTAATGTATTAACTGTTTTCTTGGAGGACAAATAGGTAATTCAGCTTTTTAGCAAAATTTGTTTGGTAAATGTAGTATAATTTAAGGAAATGTTTTACATGGTTTGAAATCTCAGCAAAACTAAAGTCTGGGAATATTTCTGAGGCCTACGAAACACATTTTTATTGCAGTATTCAGAACTGGTATTGTTTTGTGTATGTAGTTTTACAACATAAATCAAGGGGTTTTTTTGGGGTTGGTTTACATCAGAAGAAGGTAAATAAAATCCAAAATGTCTGATACAGCAAATAATTGCAATATCATTTTCTTTTGACTCTAGAATTCATTTAAAATGTTCTAAGTAACAGCAAATTATTTTCTCTTGATGACAAAATTACATAAAAAGAAACTCTACCAAGAATAATAAATGTCAATATTTAAAGAAAGGTCTTGAAAGTATATATAAGAGAAAAAGAGGCTGTTTATAGAGTATAAATTTTAGATTAACGAGGTATCAACCTTTAAAAGATATTAGCATACTTTGACCATATGTCTAACAATTCTTCATTTTTACTTTCTTGGGAGTAAATGATATATTTTACATATACAGGAAACAGAATTACCTAAGTATAATTTATTATCACATTAATACATAAACTTTACTTGTAATATTTTATAAATTGTAAAATCCAATATGGTTGTTCGATTTGTTTTCATTTTAAATAGCTTTCAGTGCAGTATGGTAGGTCTATACTAATAGAGCTAGAAAAAATGTTTTCAGATGGGCTTTCTCCCATTCTGTAAAAACAGAGTATTTTCTCTTTATCTTTTAGCTAAGAAAAAACACTTTTTTGATACAGGAATAAAAACTGGAGTATTTGCTGATTTGCTACCTCTTTGCAGGGCAAATTCAAGAGTAGAGCGGGCTTCTCTTCAGAGCCAGCCCTCCTGCTAAGAGATCTTACAAATGCCTCAATTTTGAAAGACAGGAGCATGTTGCTGCTTAGTTATCTTCATTGCCTGTCTCTGCAGCACGGGTGGGTTTCATTACAGAGTTCCATATGGGACTAATGAGGAATTCTGCAAAGGCAAGGCAGCAGTTGAGCTCATTTTTATTCTGGACAGTTCCTGAGACACTGCTCCTCTTAACAGTATTTTCTTAATTGTAAAAAAAGTCAGAGGGGCTTTGAGGTGGTGTGTGGGCAAGCAGAAGGTTGTAAAATGCTGAAAGCCTTTGAAATTGTGCACAGTGTCACCACCTGTGACTCTGGCCTCTGAGCAGTCCATAAGCAAAATAGGACTGTCCTCACATACAACTTTCACTCCTTTTGTTCCTTCTACTTCCTTCTCCTTGTTTTCCTCTTAATGGTGCTCTGTACTGGTCTCTCTCAGAGGATGTGTCTGCTGCTTCTGAGATCTGCCATGAAAAAGTCACTTTCCTCAGCTGTACAGATCTGCCCTGTGCCCCATCCTGCTGCTTGGGTTTCTGCTTCAGCTGAAGTTGCCCTGTGCCAGCATTGGGTACAAGGCAAGGAAGCAGGGAAGATATGCTAGAGAGTTTTATTTCTGGTGGAGAGCAAAGACAAGACTCCCATAGGAACTGTGATACTCACCTCTCTCACCTCTTCTCCTGCCAAAGGACTGTCTGAAAAGTGGGGTCAATGACAAAGGGTAGCAGTGGCTTCACCCTCTCCTTGTGAACCGTGCACGCTCTCATCTCTAATAACTTACATGTTTTGTTGCTCCATATCAGAATGTGTGACTCAGATCTATGAAAATACTTACTTCCAAGGAGGAGACCTCACTACAGTTTTTACACCGAGTGCCAATTACTGCCAGGTAGTGTGCACTTACCATCCTACCTGTCTGCTCTTCACCTATTTGCCAGTGGAGTGGACTAAAGACCCTGCAAAAAGGTAAAATGTTCATGTTAGTGTGGCTTTTGCTGCTGTTCTGTGCTAATTTTAGAAAGTTGGTAACACTTTGATAGAAGACAGGCACACAGGGAAAACTACCAGGTTGCCATGGGAAACAATCTTGTATCTTTTAAAACTGGTGATCTAAAAAAGTATTTGCTTAAATTCAAAGTATTTAACCCCACCCTCTCTCTTTAGCATCTTTTTTCTCAGTTAACAACTTCTGTAGCCTGAGACAATGAGGTTCTCACCCCTCTCTATGCCTAGTGCATTTCTGTCTTCCAAACCCTGGGTTCTGCTTCTCACTTTAATGAGATTTCTTGGAGCTCTGTCATTCATTGAGGAATCTCATCTGCCCCCAATGTCAACAAAGCAGATGCAGTTCTGCTCTATCTTTCTCCAAATTGCACTTGTTTAAATTGTAATGTTGAGGGATATTGAACAGCCTGCATTTCACTTAAAAAGCAATTATGAAAATCTGTGTTGCACTGCAAAAGCTGTGAATTGCTGCATTTTATGACACAGGTTTTCCTGCTACTTAAAAGACAGTGATACAGAAATGCTGCCAAAAGTGGAGATGGAGGGAGCTATCTCTGGACATTCCTTAAAACAGTGTGACATCCAAATTAGTGGTAAGATACAGTTATTCATGTGTATGCATTTTGCTCTTCTATATCATGCAGCAGACGTTAGAAAACTATCATTTTGAAAACAGGAACAGAATCAGAGAAGATTCTATGTTCTATGAGGAGACCCCACTGACCATAAGGCAAAACCTGCATCCTTCACAGGGAAAAGCTGTTTCAAACCCTACAGTCCCAGTTCTCCTTCTGTGGAGTGTAAATTAAACCTTTTGACTCAAATGGGAGTTGTTGGTTGCTTGTGAGGACGGAATTTGCTTTTTAAATTGCTCTGTAAGTCTGGAAAAGTATGTTTTAGTATTAATCATGACTTCTTGTTTTGATTAATGTCATGGTCTCAGCAACAGTGGTTAGAGCTTGTTTCTCACGTAGGCAGAGGCACTGTCAAAGTCTGACAGTTTTTTCCTCTGCAGTGTGGTACTACAGATACCAACATTTCTGATCTTGTTACCAGAAGTATGTGTGAAGTATGATGTAACTGAAGCGAGTATGGGGTGTGGAATCTGGATTGCGAGGGCTGTGTCATACCAACTGTTATCTTTTGGGAAGTTTGTGGTGTGTGGTGGGAAGAAGAATAGAAGCATATTTGCAGAACTTGGTCTCTCTTTTTTTTTTTTTTTTTTTTTTTTTTTTTACAGCTTGCAGCCCAAATGTCCACAGAGGACTGGATATGGAAGGAGAAATTTATGATGTTACTATGGCTGACAGCTATCAGCAGTGCCAGAAAAGATGTACCAATGACAACCATTGCCATTTTTTTACATATGCCTCAGAAACCTTTCACAATGCAAGCTTTCGGTAGATACAGGTTCAGTATTTTTCCTTGGACAGTGCTTTGCTTTAGTAGAATAAATCTCAGAGCAGCCTAAGGTGCAAGAACTTATTCAAGGAAATAATTTTTCCTTGCTTTGTGATCCTTGTAATTTTTATTCAAACTTACAGATAGGAAAATGTCTGTAGTAAATCAGCTTTCATTTCTCCATTGGTGAGAAAGACATACTTGATTATTGTAGTAGTGAAAAAGATTAAAATTCTCTGTAGATATTGAAATGCAAATTATATTGGAGGTGATCTCTCTGTTAAATCCTGCTCTGCTTATGCTCTGAAAGAAACACTATCAGAGCAGTCAGATAAATTCTTTCATTTTCATCAGGCCTACATTTGAGCTATTAATCTGCTCAATTTTAGAAGTTTAACATTGTTCAGCTTGCTCTGTTCCTCATTTGAAGACTGTTCTGGAGGTTGGAGGTAGCTCTGGCCCATGGCCAGAACATGCACCATGATAGGAATTATGAGGTCAGGAGGATGGTGTAGACCAAAGAAGATGGCCTCTTGTCTTACCATTTTCTTTATTTTTTTGTCACTCAGTAAAAAATGCTTCTTAAAACATACCAATGTAGGAACTCCAAACAGCATAAAGGTGCTTGATGAGGTTGTGTCTGGATTCTCTTTAAAGCCATGCCAGCTTTCTGAAACAGGTAAGTATTTAAAATCTCTAATTCAGTTTACTTTTAAGGATTTGGATGATGAGGTGCAGTCTATCTCTGACATAGATATGTTTCATTATGTAAAATAATTCTAATGTAAACTTACTCTTGCAAATATTGTTGGTACTCTCAGGCACAAAGGACGTTCAGATCTTTTTAATTTTTCCATTTGATAATTTGTCTCACAAAAACATTTGCCCACTTTGAAGATCTAAAGAATTATTTCATAAGATTAGCTTGATGAAGCTGAATGTTATCTTTGTACTGTGGAGACAAAAATGAATGACAAAATCGTTTCAATGTCAAAGGCTGGGAGGAACATAAAGCATACTAAATTCTGTTTAGGAACTGTGTAAGCACTTAGGGATTTTTAATGAAGACCTGCACCTTTCTAATGTGACTGGCTGTTATGAAGGGTTATAGTCTGTGTTTTGTGAGTGATTTCTGTTGAAAGTGGTGTTTGTGCTTCTTTTTACAATCATTACTCAGACAGAATTCCCCAAAGTGCAAGATCAAACATTTTGCATTATATCTTCTTATATTCTCACTGAAACATTTTTTTTTTTTTTTTTCTACCTTCACCTTATATTACTCTGTGATATTTCTCTTCCTAATGGTGATGGTGTTATGCTCTGCATAGCTTTATTTTAGCTCACAGATAATCTAGTTTCCCTGTAGAAATAGAAATAACATTTTTTTAGAGATTCTGCATATTTTTTTTCTATGTCAATACATTTTCTTCAGACTCTGTTAATCCTACTGTAGGAATAAGCTTTTGAAATGATTGAAAAGTAGTTTTGTTCAGATCGTACCAAAGCAGATGCTTAAAGAAGAATGAAGTGTAAAAAAAGAATAAGAAAAAGGAAGAAAAAAATTTGTAAAGAGAAGATGACAATTTAGCTGTTCCCTTGCCATTTGTATGAGAGAATGGCGGGAAGATTTTTTTTTTTCCAAAACTCTTGCATTAAGATTTACTGGAAAGGCACATATTCATGGATAAAGAATTCACAGAATCACAGATTCTGAGACAAATCAGGGGACTGTAGCATAGTACAAAGAGTATGATTTAAAAAAAATAAATATTAAAAGCCACCTGAAACTTTATCAAAGACATTTATGGTTTATGACAATGATGACCTGGATGGCAGTACTGATGCATCACCATTTAAATCAGTATCTGAAAGCATATAAAGATCACTCTTGTTTCTGCCTGTCTTGCCTTACTTTCTATGTCTTGTGAGAAAGTGAAGAGGAGAGAAAGAAAGAAGGAGTAAATCATGGGATCGTAAAAGCCTAGACAGTACTATTGGATCAAGAGGTTATCTAAGGAGGGTATCTGTCTTAATACATGACATATCAAGTCTACCTGGCCAGACAGAGATTTGTCAAATGTAGTCATCAAATGTCAGTACCAACTTCTGCTTTGTTGTATTGCAAATATCTGAAATGGGTTTATTTAAATATTTCTTCTATTTTTCTTTTTTTCTGACTGTATTTAGGCTGACTAGTCCTACATTGTATATGTTCCAGAGTAATAATTTTAAAAATAGATGCTTCCACTTTCAAAGCTTTTAGAATCACTGCAACCCTCTGTGAACACCGAAAGACTAAATTGTACCAAGAAACTGAGATTGCTTCAATTAGATTCTAAGACCACCGAAAATAATCAATATTAAGGGATTTCTGTTCCCTGTTCCACCATGTTTTCTTCCTTCTGCTCAGTAATGCTAATGTTGTTGACCATCCAACTGCAGCTTGTTTTCATGAAGAGAGGAAAAAAAAAATGTAGCTCTTTAGCCTTTCTTGTATCCTTAGCTGTTAGCTGTACTTCTCCCTTTAGCAGAACTTGAACTCCTTTCTTAATGCTAATTGAATAGCACTGCATATTTTTCTTTCAAGAGTTTGTCCCTTTCTGTTTGGCTTTTTATTTTTTGCTTTTGCCTTTCAGATTTTGTCATTATGCACACATGCCATTACACATCCATAGGAATTTGTTTGTTTTTCTGCCCTTTGTAAAGGACCTTCTTTGAGAACACTGAATATTAAACGATCACTAAACATCACCATTGAGACAATGGGTTAGCTTCCCTACATCCAGATCCACATTAATGCATCAAATATAATTTCCTCTAGAAACTGTCCATTCCCCTGAACTCTGTTTCTCCTTTATGTGGGATCTTACCTTCTAATTGCCAGAGTTAATTAACCCTTATTTTCTAGTCTCCTTGGTGGGTGGTTGTTGTTTTTATTGTGTAATTACTGCCCAGTACTGTTTTCCTGTCATGCTTTTGTTTTTCTGAAAACCTCATGAAAGTAACAGTAACATTAAGATCTACCTCTCCTTTTACTGCTTTTCTTTTTCTGCAGTAAGATGTTTCCAGTACATTTCTATAGTTCATTGGGTAGTGTCAACTTGGCTGCTGTACTCTTTCAATAGCTCACATTCTCTGCTGCCACCAAGTCCTGCATTTGGGATCATTTATTTGTTTTACTGTCTCTACATCTTGATATATTCAAGAAACATCTCCATGTTGGTGCTTTTTTTTTTTTTTTTTTTTTTTTTTTTTTTTTTTTCTCCTCTTTTTATTGTTGCACTGGGATTTTAACTAGGACTTCAAGTGTATCTTTGGAGAGGGCAACTCATCTCTTTCTGACCATGCTAGTACTTCTTGTAACTTCTGTCTCCGTAGTATGGTTGTGTGAGTTAGACTGCCAAGTCTCTGTTCCATTATTTTGTCATGTCAGATGGCAGATTGTACATTACTCCTCCTTATTCTGTCTACTTTTAAAACAGTATTTAATAAAGTGTTAAGAGGTTAATCCCATTATTTTTGTCTTTGCTTCCCATGATCCTCCTTTATACCTATTACCATTTGCCTAGATTACCACTGTTTATTCCTAATTGTGGATTTGTTTACTGATCTCCATTGTTCCTAATTTAAAGCCTTTCCTACTGGATTAGCAAATCTGTATTCTGACATGTTGCTTATCTTCTTCTCTATATGAACCTGATGTCTGCTCAGGAGTCTTCTCCATGAGTTTACACATTTGGAAAAGTTATTGTGAAATATTTTTTTGTTAAAATTTTTCTAGCTTATCAGTCACAAAAAAAGAAAAATTTAATAAGGGTAGAAATCAATAATCTGTAAACATTCATATTCTGATGACATAATAAAATATTTGGAATTTTGATATTTTGTTCTTGTTTTATACAGATTGTCAAACGGACATTTTTGAAGGTCAAGAATTTTTAGGAATGAACATTACAAGTTTTTTCACTCCTGATATCTCTGTCTGCCAAACTATTTGTACATATTTTCCAAAGTGCTTGTTCTTCACGTTCTTTACCAAGGAGTGGCAAATAGAATCCCAAAGGTGAATATGACAACTAACTTTAATTCTCTAAGTAGACTTTTTAAAATAAAACACGCAGTCTTTTTTAATGACTATTTTATTATACTTAGGGAAATTCTTGTAAATTGGTTATTTTCAGTACATCACAACGTTTTATGTTTTGTATTCAGGAGTTTAGAATTTCCTGTGGGCATTTGTCTGATCAGGGGTTTGTATGGCAGCTGCATATCTGGTATTAACCTGAAAAGAATTATACACATCAAAGAGACAGATGACCTCCAGCTTAAAGCTGAATTTTATGAAATTATCAAAAGAGTCATTGAGTTTCCTAGCGGTAATAAATTATTTATTTGAAAAGGGTTTTTTATAAAGTTAGCAGAAAAATGTTTCTGTTGAAAAGTCTTCAGACTTTGTAGTGAGAATTGTTAAAAATCTACATTCTTTATAGAAGAGAAGAATGATATTTCAGAGGAATTTCCAGGAGAAGCAAAGCTGGGATGATATATAACATCTAAAGTCACCTGTTCTACATATACCTAAATGCTGTGCAACCTTTAATAATACAGTCGTATGCCATTTCACAAAACTACAAAAGCCCCCTCTATTTAGTGTGAACTAGTGAACTTAGTAAATGCCTTTTCACATTAAATACCTTCACAGAGTCTTGGGAGAAAAAGCAAATTTAATAAAGAAACTTCTCATATCAGTACCTGAACAATCCATTTTAGGATGGGAGAACAGATTTAGTTATTGTAAATATGTTGTGGGTTTTTTGTTGTTTTAGAAATCTTTGCCTTCTGAAGACATCAACAAGTGGGATACCAGAGGCACTTATATCACAAGAAAAAACTGTATCAGGCTTTGGTCTCCTAAATTGCAGAAGATCCTTTCCAGGTAAACAGTAAATTACAATTAAACTAGTAGTTTTGAATTAATCAAATGAATAGATTTACTGATGCCTGGAATGCAATCTTACAGCCTGCAATTCTCGCACTTACATGCACATGAATTTTTTGGGAGATGAACTCAATGTCACTTACACTAAAGGACACAGAGCCTGTCAGCAGCTTTGCACAGATGTGATCCGCTGCCAGTTTTTTACCTACTTTCCCCTCCAAGATTCATGCAATGAGGAAAGGTGGGATATTTTCTAAAATGTTCAAATATTGCAGAAATAATCATTCTGCAGGCTTGGTGAGGCAGTAATGTATGTGTTCTGCACAAACAAGTACAAACTGAATCTTTGCAATAATTCATTGGCAGAAAGTGTGAGTGCCACCTCAGAATGTCCCCAAATGGATCTCCAGTGGAAATAGCACATGGGCCAGGAACGATCTCTGGATACTCACTAAGATTATGTAAAAAAAAAACCAATACTGGTAAGTGAAACCTCTTTCATGTTAAAGAGACAGTGCTTAACTGATTTCAGTACAGGAAGCCAAACCCCCCTGTTTTTTGTTTGTTGTGGGTTTTTTTTAATTGGCTGCCCTGGTTGCACTCTCACAGAGGGCCACCTTGTGAAGTTAGTGTTCTGAAAAAGTGAAGGCAGCCAGGTGTGCACATTGTAAACTCCAACAGTAGCACTGTGAACTTGATTTTAGTAGACTTTGAATTCCTAATTCAGAAAAGGACTGGAATGCATCTTTGCAATGAATCCGTTTCTTTACAGGCTTCAGCAGTATTCTCATCTTCATTTGTCATTGGTGAGTACAAATTATATTTAAGCACAGTTTTAAATTATGTTTGTAGTGTGTATGCAGCATTCTGCAAGAACAATTAGGATTGTTGGAGGGACAGACTCTTCTCCTGGTGAATGGCCATGGCAGGTCAGCTTGCATGTGAAGTTGTCTCGTCAGAGACATCTCTGCGGGGGCTCTATCATCAGCAGCCGCTGGATTCTTACAGCTGCTCACTGCGTCATGAGGTGAGGCCTGAATATGAATGTACAAATAAAGCAAAACATTTTTGTCCAGTGTATGAGATAAGTTGAGATATATCATCAGAAAAATAAAAATGTGGACTAGAATAAAATGAAATATTTTAATGTTACCAAAAGTTGAACTTCTAAGGCAGACTACTCATATCCTTAATGTAACTGAAACTCGATACTTTGTCCCTTTCTAACATAGTATTGTAGTACTGATGCTGAATTATTTGTATCCATCTCCAAGACTAAAGTCTACAGTAGATACCAGATACCTACTGAAACTTTGACATTCTCACGCATCATAAACTCTTTCTTACTGTTATAGCATATTCAAGGAAAATCTGTTGCTAGGTTATTCCATTTCAAAGACTTCAAATTACTTATCTCAGATGTTTCTCCTTGGTGCTTAAGAAATGGTACTAATCTGATAGCTTCAGCAGCAGGATGCTCACCAAGTTAGCTCACTTGACCAAGACACAAAGCATATCAGGGAGTGGGATGAGTGGTGTCTGTTTAGGCTGCTTCTGCTACCTGAGCTACCCATCTCTGCATTACATGAAGCATCCACATCCCAATTGTCCGGGCTTTCCTTTAAAAGTTGGTTTCAGTTTTTCCCCAAATTCTATCAAGCAGCAATATCATATTTGTAAAGCAGATTTCAGATGTAAGAACAAAATTTAAAGCAGACAATACCTAAGACATTGCTTATTTGCTCTGATGCAAATAGTCCACATTTCTAATCAAATTATGAACCTGTTTAGGTCATGAAATTATTTGTGGTGTAAAGAGCTGTTTTAATTGTCATGCAGATGATTCATTTCCTGTGTTGGACTGTCACCATCTGTAGAGAAGGTTATCTTATCATTTACAGAGTGAAAAGTGTAAGACTATAATGCAGTCTGATGGGAGAAAAGCAACAGGTAACATGCTTCAAAGAACAGGATGTTGACCCAGTAGTATGGTCCAAAAATTAGGCTTTTTTGCTTAAACAGTGTAGTATCTTGCCCATTACTATTTTGGCATAGAATAGTATTGTCAATATTTTGCCTACAGTGGCAAAGTTTATAAAAATGGTTAAACTCTCTAAAAAACCCTGTTTAAAAAATATCATTCTCTATCTACCAGCCAGTGTACAAGTTACCAGTATCATAAAAGGCAAAGTGAAAAGATACACTTGCAAAACAAATAAAAACAAACCAGTCTTTACTAATTGGAAATTAATAAATAAATTATATTTATGGATTCATATATAAAATATTAAAAATATTCGGGAAATTTTATTTAAGACAAGTTTTGCATCTTCTTCATTGCATGTATCAAGACTTCTAAGTTGCCTTCATGGTAGAATATTGCAGTGGAATACCCTGTGAAGGTACTCAAAGTTGAAACCATAAAGATTAACTGGAACTTTTTATGATATTACACACTCTAATGTATATTTACATGACTAGTGTCATGTTACTAGCAAGTGTCAGAATAGACTCTACTAGAATCTAGTAGACTCTAGAGTCTGAACATAAAGGAGATAGAAAACTGATGTGGGGATAAAAATATGAACAGGAAGAGGAACAGGAAAGAGTAGACCTGAAGGGAATGGACAAAATAAATATTTTTTTGTTAGTTGTGAGATTGTGAAAACAAAAAAAAAAAAATGGAAAGAATGAGCCAGTGCTGTTCACTGTACACTCAGGAGTAAGGAACGGAAGGCACACAGCCTCTAAATCAGTGCCAAATCTTTTGCTACAGACTGACTGACTGTGTTTTTCCCTCAGTCTTGAGAATCCCAACATTTGGCGTGTTTATGCCGGTATTTTAAAACAAACAGAAATAAATGAGGATACACCCTTCTTCAAAGTGGAAGAGATTATTGTTCACCCTCAGTATAAATACGCACAGACTGGATATGACATTGCTTTAATGAAACTTGATAAGCCTATGAATTTCACTGGTATGTAGTGTATTTCAGAGGAATTCTGAAAATGTGAAGGATGCTGTGGGGCTGGTGTTGGGGTAGCAGTGCACAACATTTGGGCTGGCTTCATTTAAGATGCAGTTATGGGGGTTTGACGAGAATCTTATTCTGTTGGCTTTGAAAAGAAAATGGGTGTTTTTTACTTATGTGACTGGAGTGATATATAGTGTAAGGCACAAAGCATAACATGGAGGCTATCATGAGAGATCGTGTATGTGCCTACAAAATCTTAATGCTGCAATTGTCTCTGCTGGTCAAATAATATTTTTAATTGTATCACAGATCTTCAACTACCCATTTGTCTGCCATCAAAAGAAGATACTAACATACTTTATACTGACTGTTGGGTAACTGGATGGGGTTACAGTAAGGAAAAAGGTACAGATAAATATCTAAACAGTGAGTTCTTGCATTTGCAAAGTTTTTGTGGTTAAAAAATCCTTATACTTCTCCAGCACTGTAATGTAATTCTTAATTAGAATCTACTTCTAGTAAGACATCATAAAATGTATGAAAGATATATGAAGTTATTAAATAACTCCATGCTCTGACACAAAAATTTAATTTTATAAATGGTTTGATCCAATAATTTGAAATATTTAATAATGCAACCTAAATATATCCTGTAGCGGTCACAAGTATTTTTCTTAAACTATTCTCTTAAAGATTCTAGCTTAATCTACTGGAAAATCCCTGTATATATCTGGAATACACATTCTTTTTTGTTCTCCCAGCAGAAAAAAAACCAACTAACTTATTGAACTGTGAGATTTTTATTTACAGTCTGCACAGAACCCAAGCTCTTTTTTTTTTTTTTTTTTTTCTAGCTTAATCTACTGGAAAATCCCTGTATATATCTGGAATACACATTCTTTTTTGTTCTCCCAGCAGAAAAAAAACCAACTAACTTATTGAACTGTGAGATTTTTATTTACAGTCTGCACAGAACCCAAGCTCTTTTTTTTTTTTTTTTTTTTTTTTTTTTTTTTGGTGGTTGTATTCATGTAAGTTTAGAAACTGGAGATTGAAGTATGTTGCTTTTATGATTCTGAAGGTTGATTATTAACAATACCAATGACAGCAGCTGCTGTGACAGCAGGTGAGTTTTTAAACTCCTCTGATTTCATATGGAGGTAGACCAAATAGCTGTTAATTATAAAAGTATGCTTTTACAAGCATTTATCTATTTATATTTTAACATGTGTAATATTTATGTGTACGTGTATATATATATATATACACACACACTTTATTAAACTGCATCCTTTCCTTCATAGACCTTCAATTTGAAGGTTAGATTTCAATGTGAAACCTAACAAAATTAGGCTTATACTGTATAGGCTATTTCTTCTGTTAATTTCTGGGAAAAGACTGATCTCAAATATTCTTATTTAATCTCTATGTGCAAATTTCTCCACCCTGTAAATTAGTCGCACATAGAACAGCACAGATTTGGCAACTGGGAGATTCCAAATCTATTGTAACACATTTCTAAGAAATAATTGTTAATGAAACAAAAGAATGCTCTTAAAGGGAGGACAGGTTCCAAAGGCCATTGTCCTGAAAGCTGTACTAAAATGAGGATCCATTGCAAATCATAAGGGAGTTTCAAAGCTTGCCCAGTCATGAGACATAAAATGGCATTATAAATACATTCAAATTAGCATAAAATTCACATTGCTTACTAACTCAAAAAAAGAAAAGAGGAAAATTGGTGTTATGAATGTCTAACACTCCAAAAGCAGTGGCCTCCAACTTTGTAGTATCACTGTATTGGGATTTCTGCAGTTGATTTTAACTTTTGTTTTGCTAGAAGCAAACATTTCTGTGTTCATACCATCTATTTCATAGGTCGTGTAGAAGATATTCTTCAGAAGGCTACTGTTCCTCTCATGTCAAAAGAGGAATGCCAGGCAAGGTACCTGAAGCACAGAATAGGTGACAAAGTGATCTGTGCTGGTTATGATGAAGGTGGAAGGGATGCTTGTAAGGTAATGAAAAGAAGTAGTATATAGTCAAATATTCCAGACATTCATTCAAATGTATAACTGAATAATGTATTTTTAAATTACCATTAGAAAAATATGGTTATTAATAGAGCCATTGATCCATTTGTTACTTTTGCTTGTCAAAAACTCTGAAAATAAAGGCATATGCAAAGGATTTCTTGTGACACACTATGTGTGTGTATACATAAATACATCATCCATTTAGGGAATACAACAGTATTCCTTCAGAGTATCAGAAATCCAAAGCGAGCAAATATAGCATCTCAAATCAGTTCTTCAAAAAAAAAAAAAAAAAAAGAAGCAGACTTCCTATGTGATGATTTTTATTTCTTGACATGAAATACAGTACATGAAAACTTATTTGAAAGCATCCACTGTGTACGAATCAGAGGGGAGAGTGCTAGCAATGCTATTAAAATGCATGGGGAATGGAAAGCTAAAGACAACCTGGTGAGCAGTCTGGTCTGTTCATTATTAGAAATGAAAATGTCCCATGAGTGCATGCATGAGTTCAGTGAGCCAAATTCTCTGCTTGAGTGTAAACTCATGCATTTCCATTAATTTAAATGTTTGGAATTAATGTATGCAAGAAGAAAATAGTCTGATTAATAAGATTAAATCCTCTACAAAATACAGTATTTTCACTTCAAGCAGTGAAGCACTTTAACAGTTAACATTTTTTATGTTAAAATGTTACTGTTACTATGATCAATATTGAGGAATTAGCAATAAAAATACTTGGAGCTGGGAAGTAATTTTTCCTCTATGTCAACTAAACTTTATCTGATAGAGTGTACCAGAACATAGAGATGCTATTTTATAAAAATAACACACTTGTTATTGTTTCAACAACTCATAACAGATATGCTAAAGAAGCTTATATTAAAAAAGATCAGGTAGAAATAGGTTAAGAAAACAGAGATGTGTTTTATCCTGAGGGGGACGGAGTCACTCAAACAAGATAGGCTGCATAGAGAATTGAGGTTTTCATACTAAAACTAAAGTCATAAGATGAAATACCGGCACATGTCACGTTGACATGTATTCTTCATTGGATTTTAAATCATGGTACATAGATAAGTTAAAAAAGACCAAGAAACAAGCTAGTAGTTTTGAACCTGCACGAGAAGTGGAAATTATTTGCAATGACTGTGAAGTATTTATAAGTCAATTTACTTGAAAAAAAGAAAATCTACTTCAGTACCCTGTTGATTAGCCTTAAGTGAAAGTAATTGAAATCTAGGCAATTATGCTGGTGTTAATGCTGAATGATGCTGATTTTAGTCAAGGCTTTTTCTGAGAGAGAAATACTGATGAGAGCTCTGCCTTGCTTGTTCTGTCTTTTTCTTCTGTGACTTAGGGAGATTCAGGAGGGCCATTGTCATGCAAGCACGAGGAGTTGTGGTATCTGGTGGGCATCACCAGCTGGGGTGAAGGGTGCGCTCGCCCCAGGCAGCCGGGTGTCTACACAAAAGTTGCTGAGTATTCAGACTGGATTCTTGAAAAAACTACCTAGCTCCTTCTACCTATTGGCTCAAAGCAATGCGATGAAATATAGTATCATTTTTTAAAGGCATTTCTTGTTGGCTTGCAATGTAAAATACTTCATCAAAAAAGAAGAAAAGCAGGAAGGAGTGAACTTTGTAATTACTAAATAAAAAAGCAGTATACAAATAAACTCTGTGGTCATTGATTTGGCAGAAAAAAGAAAAAAAAAAAAAAAAAAAAGAATATGTCTAGACTACTGATTTCTTCTGTCCTTGCTAGCATAAAATGGAAAGGGATGAGGCTGCAGGTCATCTATGGACCTTGGAGCTGGAAACTGCTTCTGACTCCTGAGGTTTGGACACAACAATGGCGATTTTCCTCCCTTGTCTGAATGTGGTGGAAAGGGGCCAACCAGTTACAAACTTACTAAGGGGCTTGGTAAAGGAAAGCTAAGGCAGGGAGAAGCCTATACAGTTGTATTAACCTTATTTACTTAGGAAATTAGCCAAAAAAATTGATGTACTAGCCAGGAGAACAAAACCAGAGGCCTTGGAAAGCTCCTTGGTAACAATTTTGCAAGTATGGTAACAGTGCTCTTTCACTTACATAATTCTAATTTCTGTAGAAGGTTTTTCTACTTCCCTTGAAGCAGGCTATCTAGAAAGTCAATAAAAGAATAATCCCCTTCAGAGACATCTTATGTAATAGATCTTTAACACAGTGTATTTTTATTTTCCACATCCCTAACTCCCCTTGATTAAAGAAACAGCATTCTCCTTTTCCTTTTTCTCCTTTTTTCCCCCTTTATCTCTTCTTATTTTGTGTCAGGTAGCAAATGTGTTTCATGGCCAAATTTAATTCTAATGTGAGAAACAGCAAAAAAATATTAATTTTCTATTTTACTTTCCCATTGCTCTTTCTATAGGCAGCATTTCACATTGAATCGGAAAGGAAGACACAGGACTTAAAACTGCCTTTGCTAAACAGCTGTCTTTGCTGTCTTTTTCCTAATCATGCTAATCATCATCCTAATCAAAGCTCAAAATATGTTCTGGAGGGCTACTCATAATTGCCACACATCCCCACTGTGTATGTTGAGGAGCTAAACAGTGGGAGTGGCTTTACAATTAAACGAGGTAATGAAATTTAGAAATTAAACATTAAAATTATGGGAGAAAACAATCAAGCTGCTAAAAGTTACTTCCACATTCAATTTTTTGTGCTTTTTTGCAAATAACATTGAGAAAAAAACTCCACAAATATAAGCTTACAAAGTTACATCTGTGCCGAAGTGTCCAAAGAGCCCCTGGGGTCACATTACTTCTCTGGGCTTGCAGTGCTAAATGAATTGCAGCCAACACACCTGAAATTCCAAAGCTGTATTAAAGGCAGGCAGGGGAGGTTGGTTTTGTCTTTTTTTAAATAATCACAATTCAAATTGGGGATGAAAACAATCAAAATGTAACAGGAGGAGAGAGGGAACAGCGATGCTGCAGGCACATCTCAGAAAAGAAGGGCGCTTCCTTCCCTCCCCCCCCGCAGAGGGCTCCAGGGGATAGGGGTTGCTTTGCTGGTTGTGCACAGCACTGAAAGTCTCCTGCTCTGGGGGACCCCCAGGCAGGCTGTAGGTGTTCAGAGAGCTGAGGTGTTCGGCTGAGTGGATTGTATCAAGAAGGGGAGGGAATGCACATCACTGTGCTGGGAGTTTTTTGCCAACACTGCAGAAGCAGAATAGGAGATAAAGGTGGGGACTGATGTCTTTTTCATGCTCTGCTTAATTCACAATTGGTTTAAAATATCAGCAATCCTCAGAGATGCTGTCAAAAACCTAGAGACTTAAATAAGGGACTGAGAAAGAGTAGGAAAAAGTAGAAAACAGCAACAAAGAAAAGATTCCTGGCATTCAAATGTGAGTCCTGTCCTCATGGGGAAAGAATGAAGACAACTGGAAAAGACCTACTGAAGAAACAAAGGAATTGCTTCAGAATGAAAACAGAGACTGAAACTCTCTAAAGAAGGATCATCAGTAGACCCATCTGCTAATAACCAAACTGTGTCTTTGCTAAAGAGCATATGCAATGTCAAACGGATAACCTTTTAATGCTTCCTCATAATAATACCATCATCAGCTTGTTTGTTATTTTTTTCAAATGCACACAAAATGCATATGCTTTTAGTTTTTTGTGGGTTTTTTTTTTGCTTGTTTGTTTTGTTTTGTCTTGTCTTTTTTTCTGGTACAGCTTTCCAGGTTGTGGCTGCTGTAGTAATGAAGAGGAATGGCAGCTCAGCAGTGCTCTGTAGACCTCTGGTGTTTTGTTTCTTGAGCTATACCTGCGGACAGCAATATGCCAAAGGAAACTTAGCTGTTCCCATGAAAAGGATAAGGGATTTCAGTGACTGCATACATCTTTCATGAGCAGCTGTTGACCAAATGAAATATCTTACTCCAATATATTTTCACCAAGGGCAGATATTCTTCAGTGAAGTTCTGCATTAGTTGTGCATCCATGGGAAATCCCTGATAGCTAAAAGTGTGTAACAGGAATAGATACAGTAAGGAGAATGTAGGAGTCTCTGGTCACTATATAAAGTCTTTATGACTCCATTTAAGAAGAACTAGGTATGGGAGCGTCTGACCTTTCCGTGGATCCAGCATAATTAATGTAATAATGTAATAATGTAATTCATTGAGACCTTAAGACTCATAGATAGAAACACATTTGTGTTACTAAGTGTTATATTACTTAGGCTTTCTGGTGTCAATAGGTAACTTGCATTAAATGAGAGGCAGTTGAAGAGCTTTATTTATTTTCACTTCTGCCTCCTTGGGGAAAAATAATTTTTAAAACCCAACAACCACAAAGCCTACCTCAATCTCATTAAAGAAAAGCCTGGTCTTATACTTTAAATCTGCCTTTGTTTATGTTGGTACAGAGCATAAAGTTCAGTGCTGTAGTTGTTGTTTTGATTAATGACAAATGTCTCTGGTGATGTCTTACATTCAGTTCTTTAGTTACACTGAAGATCAATAATGCTCAAAAACTTTCTTACACTAGATGTGCAGAAATCTCACAAGGGCCAAACACCACTGATGATGTATTGACTGGCAGCATGGCTCCATCCTAAGTTTTTGTGCAGATAGGGTCCCTGATCACAGAAATTTACAGTCTCATTCAGGCACAAGTGAAACACTTTATATGTGCCATGATAGCCTGGAGAGCAACTAGCTCATCATGAGGTAAGGCACACTGTGGTGCTGCTCAAGGGGACTCTTTAACTTGTAATAACCTTCTCTGTTGTAATTTTAGTAGAACTGTAAGCCAAACAAACCAAACTTCCCATTAAACGGATGATGCACTGCATTTCCTACCACTGCTGATGCTTTGTTTAATGTCTGAACCTGAGATGTCTTCTTGGAAGTGGCCTGAGCTAGGAACAAGAAGACATGGAGCCTCTCATTTTTTCTGTCTGGGAGAAGTAAAAATTCTTACAGAGGTTTACAGAGGTCACTGAGTAGGCCCATTTTCTATGGTTCCCCAGCAGACGGTGAAAGAGTAATTTGGTATAAGCTTTTAATATAAGTTTTATTTGTTCTGTGAAACATTTTTCTGCTGTGATGAAAAATGTATCTCAGATACTGAAAAATTATGAACTGAATGTAATTAAAATAATTACTGGTGGTGGCCTTTATAGTAGGGAAGCTCAGTGAAATTAAACTGTGGATTCTTGTTCTCTGCCTGATTTCCAGTACGTATGGAGAATTTTTTTGAAATTGTTTAAGAAAAGTCTGCATTATAACATATTAAAAATGCATTTTCATTTCAAATAGAGGGCAACATTAAATTACCTCTTTGAAAAATAACATCAGGCATGTAATATTACCTATTTATAAGCAAGCATTTCCTGGAATAGTCATGTCATTGTTTTTACTGTGATCTTTGTACATTAATCGTGTTATACATATGTATAGATGTATTAGAATTACTGTGGAATGTTGTATGTTACAAGAGTTTTTTCATGAGAGCTATGCAGTGGAGAAGGAAAACATTTGCTTTGCATCTTCTTGATGTTTCTTAATTTTCACAGGATCTTAGAAAAGAGATTTGGAGAAGGTATTTAGAGATGGATTAGTGCATCATCCTGTCCTCATGCACAATCAAGGACCCCTGTGTCATTCATGACGAGAGTTTCTCTAGCCTCTAGCAATAGAGGTTCTACAGCCACCTTGTACAAACTATTTCAGTGTCCAGCAATGTTTACCACTACAAAGTTTTCCTTGTTACTGACTTAAATAATCTTTCTTGCCATTTAATTCTACTACTTCTTGTGCTACATGCCATGGAAATAGAAAATAGGGAGGTTGGGTTTTAGTTGGTGGTGGTTGTTTTTTTTTTCTATTTTCTGTAGTTACATTTCATGCATTTGATACTCTTTTCATATTACAATGTGATGTTAGCCAATGTTGACTCAGGTCCTACATATTTTTTCTCTGGTTTGTTTGTAAAGACTAGGAATGGGGGATGACAACACTGAAGAGGACTACTATGTTTGCAGAGCACGTGAGAGATGATTAAAAGGAGCTTATCAGAACTAAAGCTGAACTATGGAGTCATTGAGAGAAGAGATGGAACAAACAAAAGATTCATTGCAAGAAGAAGGAGGACCAGCCCAACTGGTAAGTACTCATCTAGACATCTGGAATTGAAAATATGATGGACCATCCCAACATACCTTCCAGGTCTATGTGACCGTACTCCAGGACCTAAAGATTAATGAACGGTGCAGAAGATATGGTGCAGAAATAGGCTGATTAAGTCTTTGTGTGCTGGGAAGTTTAGAGTCAGATGAAGTGCAGTGCTGCCCTGACATGACTGCGTTGCACTCAGACCTGACCTTATTGTCACACACTTCTCTTCTAGAATTTGTTGTGCTGCATGTGTATAGCGCCCCAAATTTTGTCTGAACTTCCACACCTTTCTCCACTGATCTACTATCTGGTAGGTTTTGTGTCCTGATTATCTTTTTACT